TGGCCCAATATTGCAAATTAAACCTCTCTTTGAAAATCAAGAGTTCCCTTGGGGCTGCAAAATGAACAATGCCTGGGAAATAATGAGGAATGGGGCTGGCAAGCAGAGAGAGTGAGTGAGAGTGAGAGTGAGAGAGAGAGGGAGGGAGGAAGGGAGAGAGAGAGAGAGAGAGAGAGTGAGAGTGAAGAGGGAGAGAGAGAGAAGAAAGCTTCCCACTTGGATAGGTGCAAATTCATAAGAAAGAAATTATGGAGTTTAGCACCAGCAGGACAAAGCATTCGTCATTGTGTTGGCCATCCAAGTGCTGTTAATTACACACTTGTCATTGCCATTTTAACAGGGTTGGTGTGGGGTTTTGAAACAATCCCCAGTTGACATGGAAGGGGTATGAGTTTTCTTACGTGGGATCTGATTTTCTTTTCCAAACAGTATATTTATTTGGGAAATGTTAGATGCTGAACTATAATAACGTCCTGGAAAAAATATTTTGTGATCTCCTACTACATTTATGTTAACAATTGAGCAAGAAAAATAGTGTAACAAGTGCAAAGTTATCCCTCAAGGATTCAGCAAAGCCGCAGAAGAAGAAACATGAGACAATCATGGAGCACTTATCTATTAACTGAGAATGTCTCTGTATTAAAAGTCTTTTTCTTGCTTTCTTCTCTCTCTCTCTCTCTCTCTCTGCATTATTTGGATTCTAGTGCTTGCCATCTACAGCTTCTCTAAAAATAAACATGCTTCCTCATCCCCTTTTAGAAAGAATGTAAAAGCAAACTGGTAGATTATCACCTGCTATCTTGAAAATAATTTATATGGGGAATTGGGGGGAAAGAGGAAAAATGGGATATGTTTTAAATGAGAGTGGAAAGGATTAGACAATAGGAAATGATTTTGGCACTTTTTAAAAATCAGTAGCATGAAAAGCTGCTGAAATAATCTTGGCTTGGAAAGAGGTTTATATTTGCCACTATAGAATACCAAAATCTAGTTGATGAATAGGAGTGCTATTCTGTTCAATCTAACTTCAAAGAAACAAGGCAATGAAGTGTTATCATTCCTTAGTTCCTTGGTTATTTAATTCTGCAAAATCTAAGGATTTGCAGAACTTTCTCTTTGATGTGAACAGATAGTAAGTAGTACGGTACATGCTTGCAGGGTCGTGCCCACGTATTGTTTACAACAGATAATAAGAGATACAAAATAGCTAAGCAACTACCTTTAGGTTTCATAATTTTCTACTGATGGAACATGCAGATTTCTGAGTTATGCAGAGCCACTATGGCTGTGAAGTGAACAGAACCCAGCAGGGACAATAAACATACCAACTCTATAACTGCGTTATGTAGCAAAATTAAATTTAATCCCCTGTAGCTTTTCCATTTCTTGTTTTTCACTGAGTGAAAATGGTGAAGTCCTGTGGCCTCTTAAAGATGGTCATATTTACAATGTCAGAGACTTTTGTGAACTGCAGCGCCTTCAAGAGTGGATGTATGGGTGCTATTAGCTCAGCTCATGGGTTCACGATGCTTGTGGAAGGAATGAATGGTATTCACACAAAGGACGATGCCGTAGGACAATACCAGATGTGTCCTCAGGCACGGTCACAAAAATCAAGATGGTTTTGACAAGCGAAGCTCCATCTAGTATTTTTTTTTAAATGTGCACTGTTGTAGCCAGCATTTTTATTCTGGTGACCATAATTTCTGGACACTTCTGGTAAATAAAATAACCTTTGTATTGTAAGGATGGGACTTCGCTTTTGTTACCCACTTCAGAAAAAAGAAAATAACAATCGCATCCTAAATTGCCTCCCTTATTTGACTTCCTCTTCTGTCAATATGACTTATTATTATTATTCAATATATTTATATGCCGCCCAATCCCGAAGGACTCCTGCCATAGTGTAACTACATAGATTATGAATGGCAGGTGTGAATTTCTGAATACTTATGCCCCCAGGCCAAGACATTCCCACTAGCTATGGTAAAAATCTCCCAATGCAAAGCCTGCGTCTGTGTCTCCTTACAATACAAGTGCAGCAAACACAATGGGTTTGCTGAATTTTTTTTAAAAGTCTGTTCTGAAATACAGGAAGCTCTGATTTAGCAATGCTCCCCATTGCATTTAAGAATGCCTCCGATGTTCAGAACCATGTCTCCAAACTGCTCAGAGAAAACAAATGGTCCTCAGAAAAAGTCAAAGAGCATGACGTTGGCCAGCTCCGCGTACTGAATGAAACAAAGAAAAAAAGGGGCGCACGTGGGATGGGAAGGGTAGAGGTGGAGAAGCAAATCAGGAGTATGGGTTGATACCTACAACTCACTTCATGTGGGTTCTGCTTTAAAAGAGTACACTATAATGTGTTGGGTTGAGACAACATCTCGGAGACTCTGGGTTTCTGACCTGTGCAGTGCACATGGTTGAGATGGGGCTAGATGGTGACAAACAATGCTCAATGGAAAAATGCTAAAAACAGCAACAGGACACCATTTTGCCTTCTTCCTGGATTGTGCCTTACTAAGACTCCATGGTGTTAAGAAAAGGAAAGCTTTGAAAAGAACAACCGGGTTTTACTAAGGGAAGCAGCAAAGCTGCTATGAGGAGAGGGCTTGGGAAGAGAAGGAAATGCTGGCAAGGTCCCCTCATGCTTTGATTGAAGGGTTGGAAAATGTGTGGAAAATCTCCAGATTGGGAGACAGGACAAGATGGAGAGGGCTGCAAGCGGGTCAGCCATTTGTGCCACAGCTTCAGAGGAACTGATGGAAAACAATCTTTATATTCTTCTTTGGAATGAGAGTCCAGCTAGTCTAGTCAGCCCCATAATGTCATGGGCAGCAGGGCCAATCTCACACCAGAGGAGGACATGTAAAACCACCATGCGTGCAATTGCTTCTCAGAGCATCAATAGCTTCCATCCCTCCAGAGGCTCTAAAGACCCGCGTTCACAAAAACAGATTTTGGCCTATTGCAATTTGTTCTCAGGCTGAGGAACTACAGAGCCATCATTTTGCTTCTGCCTTTTTGAGGATTTGCTCCAAGTCAGAAGCCTGCATGTTCATCAACTAACAGGAATGAATCCTGCTAACAAAAGATACCGCTATATCTACTTTGTATCTATTGCATCTGGACCAACATAGTACAAATATGGCAGCTAGCACATCAGAGCATTTAGATGTGTGTAAACCTCATCCATAAAAAGGAGTTTAACTGCAGTGCACAAGAACGTTTCATCCAGGAAGTTCTAGTGCGCTGGATTTAATCAAAAATTCATTTAATTTTATTATAAAAATATTTTTTTTTATGATTTCAAATTGTGGGTTCAATTCTCCTATCTAGGAGTGGTTACACAATACATAATTAAAGAATTATTTTTACTTTTTAAATACAGAATATCATATACCAGCAGCATATTAAAAGCTCTTTTTAAGAAAAGATTTTAAAAAACAAAACAAAACAAAGGAGCTCTACAATTTCTAAATATCTTTTTTTTTTAGTTATAGATACAGAAGAACTTTAGACAGCAGTAAAATATTTTTTTTCGTCCTTCAGATCTGCTCTATGCATTTTTCTGATTTCAATCATGTATTAAATAAAGCACAAAAAATTAGGTGTATATGTGTATGTGCGTGCATGTGTGTGTGTGTGTATGTGCATATTTGTGTATGAATATACATGCACAAATATGCATGTGTGTGTGTGTGTAATGTGTATATAAAAATAAAGAGCAAAATGGTGAATGTATAAAAGTATTAACTCTCAAAACAGCTCTGGGTGGAAAGGGTTAAAAGTTCAAAACTTTCTCACCTTAGAGGTTTCCATACATTATGAGGAAATTACATTGTGAGGTTTGCATTCACAGCATTGATGCGCAGAATGGTTAGAAAAGGGAAACATGGGCACTTATACAATGTTTTACAAAAAACATCCAAGAGAAATAACAAACAACAACAATTTCAGGCAACAAGACCACAGGATAGCAAGTTAACAAACTTTTTAACCTCTTTTTTTCCTTTAAATATTAGGGATTTATACAAAACACATAATAAAATACCCATGTTATCAAATTACTTCACACAAGAAACACACTGAAGCTCTAGGAAGAGAAGTACCTTTGGAATTTGGCACTAATTTTTTCCCCCCCACTGAGTTCTTATTATTTATTTAAAAGGAAAACTGAATCACATTTTGCTGAACACAAACACATCGAAATTGTCCACAATAATAATTTTAAAAAAATCGACATCAATGCCTCACAGAAGCCAACACAAACTTAGTCTGGAATAGTTTTTATTTTTCACATGAAAACTTTTTTTTTTTTTAAATTTTAAGCAAACAATTTTTTTTTCCATTTTTTGAAATTCATTTTTTTTGTTCTGTTGTTGATCTTCAAGTAAAAACCAATTTCAAACCTGTTGTTTATAAACACAGAACACTTAAAGACCATGAGGAACCCCCTCCCAATGATGAGACCACAACTTAATTCACAAAAGCACCAAATGAAACAATAGCTTACAATAACCTTTCTCCTGTACATCGAAACAGTATAAAATATAGGTAATTTTCATGTGCATTAATTCATGGATTGTCTAACTTGTGAATCAGTTCAGCAAAAGGTGACAAATAGGTAGCATTTGCCCTAAAACAGGGTAAATATTTTTATACTAATCTACAAAAAGTGGTTCTATATATATATATTCTTAATGAGAAAGTGAGCCACCTAAAATGGCCTTATCAAAAAACTTTACACTGCCTGAAAAATGTAAAAACTATTACAGACCTCTAGAGACTTAAAATCAGACAGTTCTTCATTTCAAACTATTTCGGAAGTAGTCTGTTAGAAACCAACATTCTGTGCCTGTGTGGACACATATTGCTATGTCATTAAGAGACCAGCCAGAATGCCAGTCTCTGTCTAATACTTTCAAGTCTGTTTTTTTTTTTTTACAGAAAAAAGAAAAGAATAAAAGGGGGGAAAAAGGAAAAAAGGAACACCGAAAACTTTAAACAAAACATTTTGCCACAGGTTTTGTGTGTGTGTGTGTATGTGTGTGTGTGTTTGTTAATACTCCTATCATAAATTTGACTACAAATAAATTTTGATCTTGCATAAATGCAGCAATGCTTTTCACATTGACTTCCCAGAATTCATATAGCTAGATGAGGTCACATGCAAATTTCAAAGGTTCAAACTATAGATCAAAGATCAGTAGGAGAACCAAATTATGATGTGAGGTCAGAAAGACATCAGAAACAATGACGGGACGATGAAACTTTTTTAAGACGTCACAGGGACATGCTAGGCAAACGATGAACTAACGGGCATGAAGATGTCTAGGGAAAAACAAGGAAGAGGAAAAAGTTATGGAGAGTCTATGCAGCAGAAACAAAAATCATTTTAATGGGTGCAGGAGAAAACTAATGCAAATTTTTTCATCATTAGAGTCCCAGCCATTCACACAATTTGCATTAACTGTACACTTGGTCAACAACGGCCACAATGAAAGAGCCCCAAAGAATCCATTAGAAAGGAGGTTTCTTTTTTTTAAAAAAATGGATTCTTATTTCATTTGGGGAAGGAAAAGGGTGGGAAGGAATCAGGACCCCATTTCAACAGAGGTAACATCAAGAGGAGTAGGAGTGGATTGAAGGGAATCAAGAGAAAGAGTGAGCAAAACAAACGAACAAACAAACCCCAAGACAACTAAATTTTAAAGTAGATAATGGAAAGAACGGACAAGTTAACAAAGACAATATACAAACAAGAGGAGAGAAATTATGAACCATAAAAGATGTAGGGTTCAACGGTGAAAAAGCACCCATTCTTGGCACGTGTACTCTAGAGACTACTTCAAAATGATCTAGCTACCAGACAGAGCTGGTCTTTAGGTATCCAATAAGTTAACAATAGGCAATAAATAACTTCCATTATTTCTGAGGCAGTAAAAATTTTTGTATAAAAATAGAAATGCTTTTTACAAATAAAATTTACAGGCCTGTGGCTTTCTTTTGTATCTATTATTATTTATTTATTTATTATTATTATTAAATTTTTATCTTTCAAGAAACATCAAGTATTGTCATTCTTATTTATTTATTTTTTTAAACCCTGTAGCTTTAGAAACAGATCTCTATGTCTTCTTTTTTTTATACTAATGCTCTTTACAAAAAAAAAAAAACAACCTGAAGAACTTAAAAAACAAAAAAAGGAAAACGAAACACAAATAGGTAAAATATATAAAGACAACCAGTGTTTAAACAGGATAATGTAACCACGTCTCAATCTGAAGCCCTAAGAATGTTAAATATTAAAGGTTCTTAAGAAGAAGAAAGAATCAACTGAAGTAATGGAAAAAAAATGTTGTGTTCTAAATGAGTCACTTTCTTGGCCAAGGGCCATAGCTTTATTAAGCAATTTCAGAACTGGTGCCATATACGGATAATTCAGGATTGCTTTCATTATCCTCATCCAAAGTGTTAAGGACACCAGGGCCGAGAAAGTCAAGTTGCAATTTTTCTTTTTTGACAGCTCTAATTATTAAGATTGTAGCGTATGGATGGGTGCTTTCCCTTCAATGCTCATTAAAATAAAATTTTTTAAAAAAAATCTGAGTTGCTAATTCAAATCTTGTAGGTCATCCCACAATTATTATTATTTTTTTGGTTAGGTTAGCCAAGTTTCTCTTAAACAAGTGGGGAAAATGGAAGCAGGATTGTCAAATGGCTGTCTCTTTAGAGGTGGCGGGCCAGGTGTTCTTATGTTCTTTCTCAACCCCACCCCAAGCAAGGGTGGGCTTGCTGAAGAGACTTACCCTAAGGAAACTAAATTAAGAGCAGAAAGCTTCTGGGAGAACGGTCAGTAAGGTTTGCTGTCATTTTTTGAGCGCTTCAGCTGTACTTTCAGCCGTTTCATGCCAATTTGAAAGCCGTTCATCGCCTGTATTGCAGCTTGTGCCGAGACAGGATTGTCATAGCTAACAAAACCTAGAATGCACAAAAGGAGGTAAAGGGGTTAGGGGGGGAAGAGACAGAGGGAAAAAAAAAACAAGTGCATAAGAACTAGCAGAAAATCGTTAGCATTCGGATTCTTTCACGGTGCTTTCCAGCATCAAGACTGAGAAGCGTTTGATTTCCTTTCTTCAATTCTGTCACTTCGACTTGCTTCCTAATTCCCTTCCTGTCACTTCTGTTTGGTTTCTCCTTTGTGGCTTTAATAGGCAACTTTCTCAATTGTTCTTCCATTGATTACAAAACCCAAATGGCTCTTGGATGTAGGGGTACATTTAGTATTTTAGGTCCAAAATGATACAGTGGAGATATCATTTCAGACTTTGGGGTTTAAGACATCAGTCCTACCAGATACCTTGGTATAAAAGGTATTTATATCCACTTAATTTCACAGATATTGATCTGCAAGGTAATAACATTTGGTTTGTAAAGCTTACTAAGCCACAAAACAAAACAAAAACTTTAACCAAACATCGTATGTTGTGCTAATGCATCTATAGGCAGTCCTCAACTTACGACCACAATTGAGCCCAACATTTTTGTTGTTAAGCGAGATATTTGTTAAGTGAATTTTCCCCACAGTTTTACAACCTTTCTTGACCCAGACATTAAGTGAATCTGGCTTTCCCATTGACTTTGCTTGTCAGAAGGTCGCAAAAGGAGATCACTTGACTCTGGGATGCTACCACCACCAAGTATCTGAATTTTGATTACATGATCCTAGGGATGCTACAATCATCATAAGTTTTTAAAAATGGTCATAAGTACTCTTTTCAATAAGGTTGCAACATTGAATGGTCATTAAATGAATTGTTGTATGTTGAGAACTACCTCTACTAAGTTTCAATTGGTCTGGGACCATATGTTGGGGAAACAGGAGCAATATGTTATCAAGGTTAGTTCAGCAAAGAGACACAGCAGAGAAAGTGGGAAAATAATTATGCCATTTGGACTGATGGCAAAAAACTGTTTTCAATGTTCTTCCCCCCCCCCCAACAATTCTTTTAATTTAGTTCCTTCCATATGACATTGGTTTGGCAATAGAAGAGTTGTCAAGTTATTTATTTTTATAAATAAAATTCTCAAAGTATGACCCATATGCAACAGATATGGACCAGCACATTAGTGATTTATTATTTTATTCTATTCTTATGCTGGCTTTAAAAGTTTATAAAAAATTCTGGTGCTGTTTGCCACCACTAATTTATTCTTCTTTTGAATGTTGAAAAACTTCACTTTGAAGTGTCTGTTTTCTCAGATACATTTTTCTGCTTTTTAACTTGTAGTTCAAATTATGCCTTTCAAAGAATTGAATAAAGCAAAAAAATATCAAAATAATTTGATTATAATACAACAGATTATGTTTTTCTTAATTTTTGTTGTTTAAAGTTTATAATTATCCTGAATCTGTTTATTAATCAATTAAATTAAATATGTTTTTAATTGTTAAAAATTCACCTTGTCAAGTAGATTATATAATACCTTGTAGTCCAAATAAACAAAGAGCAATACATACATAATAAAACTTAAGGGAAAAGCAAAAATCATTAGAGGTAAGGAAGATTAGAAGAAAAAAGTTTTGAAATTGTCCTAAAGTCCAGTGAAATGCATTCTGAGATGGGAGGGGAGATATTTAGATATTCAACTATTTTTTTACTAGACGATGCATTAGTTCATTCCATTTTATTTTATATTCAGTTCCTATTTTTATTCTTCTCTGTTAATATTCCATCTTGGCTGAATTTTAACTAAACCATAGGAAATAATGCCCTGCAGATATATTAAAGCTATTGTTATTTCTTAGGCACAGTGATGCAATTTTGGCTGCAAATTTGCATAAAACAGGAAAATTAAAACTAGCATCAAAAAGAATAATTATTGAACAAATACTGTATGTCAATGTAATTATACTACATTTAAGAGAGTCGGTTTGTGGCAGTGACTAAGACATGAGGCTAGAAATTGTGACACTATATAAAGCCAGCTGGGTGACCTTTGGACAGTCACTTTCCTTCAATGTAGGAATGATATAACAGCAGAGTTGGAAGGGACCTTGGAGGTCTTCTAGTCCAACCCCCTGCCTAGGTAGGAAACCCTATACCGTTTCAGACAAATGGCTATCCAACATC